TTCGTATTTTGTAAACTAAAACAAATCTAAAATCCAAAATAATAATTCAGTTTTGTTGAAAATCAATCCAAATATCCAAATACCCGAACCAAATTATCTAATTGGAAAATTCGGTTTTATCCAAATAATGAACAGACTTGCATAGAATATTCAAAATCAAGGTTTTATATTGGTTTTGTCAAAAAAAAAAAAAAGTTGAAAGTACTATTTTGTCATTCTTATTTCTTTTTTATAATTTTATATTTGTTTTAATACCTTGTTTATATATATATATATATATATATATATATATATATATATATATATATATATATATATATATATATATAATATGTTGACTCCACCTGCTCATAGTCTCTCTCTTTATCTCTCTCTAACACATCAGGTAAGAAAATGACCCCCCCCCCCTCTGTTCTACCAGTGTCTGAAACCACCTTCGTTGCCCCTGGTTGTTCAACATATTTTTTCGATGAGGGAGAGGCGTGGGGACCTTCTGTAACGCCCGTGGATCCGGGCTGGTCAATTTGGAGATAATAAGGGTCGAAAACGACTTTTCGGCAAAAGATTATTTAGAATAAATAATCTTAATCAAGTTGTAGGATACGTTAAAAGGTTTATGTGCATATAAACAATGCCGAAATCCGAGTTATAACGAAGAAGTTATGACTCGTCGAAGTTTCGCGACGGAACCGGCACGACACCGGGAGACGTAAATAGTGAATTTTTGATAAAGGAATTTTTAGCCTTAGTAATCTAAACAAAATTCGTAGAATATGATAATCTGAGAGCGTCCATAAAAAGAACACCAAAATCTGACTTCGTATGAGGAAGTTATGATTTTTCTAAGATTTAGCATAGTGGTGCACGACCCGAAACTCGAATTTTAGTTCGAGTGGTTTTTGGCCTACACGACCTAAATAAAAGTTGAAGATCTCATTAATAGGAACTCAGCGGTAAAAAGACAAACGAAAACGGAGTCCGTATGTAGAAGTTATGAATTTTACGCGGACATTTAACAATATAATCTCCTCGTACTGTTAAACTTAAGATCGGTCGAGAATTAACTGACGGAGTCAAAATGAAAGTTGTAGATATTATTTTTACCCATGCGTGGGTATAAATAACGTCAAAAATGGAATTCGTATGTGAAAGTTACGGATTTTAGAAGTCGGAAATGTGCTATGCGAAAATGGGTGTGACACAATCTTGGCCATTGCTTTCTCCCGAAGTCTTGCCACTAGATGGTGACATGTAGCACCAAGTTCAACCATTTTCACCCTATAAATAGAACCTCTCTCACCCTCATTTTCTTCACACATTTCCTATTATTTCTTCTTTTTACTCTCTCTAGAACCTTTCTCTAGCCCCGAAACCCCCCGAAAAGCCTAGGGAACATCCCTAACACAAGGTGGAAGCCCCAGAGTGCTCGAAGGCTCCGAGAAGAAGAGCTTTTCCGCACGGGAATGCTACTCCAAGCAAAAGCCCGATTTTCTATAAAACCCATTGTAAGTGAGCTACGACTACACTATATTTAATATAGCTTTTATTTAATTATAGTAACGTTATTAAGAACTAATACTAAGTAATTTGGCTATTATTATGGGTTATATAAGTATTGTTTAACGCTTATATAATAGGAATAATAGCTAGACTATTAATTAGTCTCGGCGAATAATAGACTAAACTCTAGTGGTAATAATACTAGGTTTCGTCAAAGGAAAATAAAATCGTTAAAAGCGAAGCGCTGCCCGAGTTTGTAATCATCACTTTAACAAGTGAGTGCATAGTTACTTTCATCTTACACATAGATATGAAGTATTTTATATAGACTACGTGTTATGTGTGCATATTATCTGAATACTTGTTGTCTATGCTGGATGAACGTTTTTTTTTTATACATGTTTTAAATGCTTTGAACAGTATACGTATTTTAAATATACATGTATGTTGGGTATGAGATGGGTAGATGAATGATGAGAGATAAAAGATGATGTGAGTAAACATTGACAGCTATAGACTTAGTGTCTAACAATTAACATCGGAAACTATGGACTTAATGCCTATTGGACAAACACTGGTAGCTATGGACTTAGTACCTATTAGATAAACACTGGTAGCTATGGATTTAGTACCCAACAGCTATGGAATTAGTGTTTTACGAACGAGCATTGGCAGCTATGGATTTAGTGCCAGTCTTATAACTCTGGAAGCAAAGGACTTCAGAATGAACGAATGTGGGATAGATGACTCTTAGGATAGATCCTTAAGAGTAAAGAAGATAATGGAGATGGGTAATTGGGTCGATTGTTTGATTGTTTAAACATAATAATTATATTATTGTGGCTTGAAAACCCTATGTACTCACCAGGTTTTCCAACTTGACCCACTCAGTTTATTTATATTACAGGTGTTGAGATGAAGTTACATTATACTGAGAGATTAAAGAGATATAGATCACTAGTGTAAATAAATGTAAGTTCGTTTATGCTTATGTTTCCGTATAGACAATGACATCCAAAATGTTTTAAAACGAATTAAGAATATTTTTCTTCGGAAATGCTTTGATAACGTATTTATCATGTTTTACTCGGAACAAATTCCGCAACATTTTTATTAAAAGAGGTACTCTGATTTTTATAAAACATAAACAAAATCGGTCTTTTCTGGCCGTGAAAATGGGGATGTCACACCTTCATCTCTACTCCATCATCTTCTTCCTATAGGTGTGTGTATCGACATCTAAAACTCGATCTATCTTTGTTACAGTTGGAAGGAGGGGTGGATACATCACACCTTTGTTACAGTTCATCGATAACCAACACTCCCTTCACATCACCATTCCCACAATCCAACATCATAATCTTAAACCGGAGATGCAAATCAGAGAGAAAACACACCTGATTCAGTATGTGTGTATGTCGACAACTAAAACACGATTCAAACCTAAATCGATATGGGGATGGGATTGAGAACACATGAGAGGCTAGAGAGAGAGGAAATCGACAGGATATGATAAATTGTGGTGGTTGTGGTGTTTCCAGAAAAATGAAGCTTTAGAGGAATGAAGATGATGAGGGATGGTGGCTGGGACCAAATTAGTTGGATTCATCAAGGCCATGTGGGTGTATGTATCTGTGAAGTGATTGTTTAAGCTTCACTGTGTTTCAACAGGGAAGAAAACGAAGTGTGTGTATGTATGAGACAGAGAGAAAGAGATAGAAAGAAAGAGTCAGAGAGGGAGAGAGGAACTACGATAGGGGTGGTGTTATAACATTAAAATAGTTATAGAAAATGGAAAAAAAAGGAAATTAAAAAGATACAATCGACTTTTCAAGTTTTTTTGGACAAACATAAATTAAAAATCTTGATTTTGGACCTTTAATGCAAGTTGAAAAGTTTTTAGATCTCATCCAAAGTTTTTTTGAATCTCATAGGGATTAATCTTCCAGTTTTGTCTTAAAAAATTATCTCTTCATATTTTCTTGTTGGTTTTTCCTTTTTCTTTTTCTTTCAAACTTTCATTTAACTCTTTGATGTTTTTCTGAATGTTATTATTTTATATATTCACGAATTAGAAGGGAAAAAAAACATAACATGTATTGTCTATAAGGTTGCATCATTTCATGTTTTTTAATAACATAAACACGAAAACAAAAACATTACGAAACCACATGTTAGTTTATTGATGATTGTAATGTCTTTTATTTCTTTGTGTAAGTTCATGTATTATAGATATAATGGATTTGTGAGAGACCAATATTTCTATATAACTAGACATAAAAATCAATATAAACCCACCTTTGAATAAATTAAAATAGTTATATTTATAAATATTATAAACCATAGTTTAAATAATCATGTTATCATTATGTTTCAATTTTAATTTTTCTACACGTCTTCTAAATAATTTTATATATTTTAAAATCTTTTTATTTTTAACAATTAAAAATTATATATTTCATTTTTAGTTACCGTTTTAACTTTCAAGTCTCTTCAAAACAAAATAAAATAAAGACAAAACTTCATAAATAGTCACTGCGGTTTCATAAAATCTAAAGTTTCATCTATAATTTAAAAAAATCTCACGGATGGTCCTTATTGTTTCAAAACTTTTAATGTTTAGTCCTTATGACTAACTCCGTCATTATTTATCCGTTAAGAGGCATTTTCATCATTTCATTACCGATGGACCATTTATGAGGTTTTCTATTATTTTTTTTAAACAAATAAAAATTAATCTCTTTCTCTCTCTCTCTCTCTCTCTCTCTCTCTCTCTCTCTCTCTCTCTCCATTAACTTTGTTTCACCCACTTTTTCTCAAGAAATTCCCAGGCAACAAAAATCTGTAATTACTAGCATTTTCAAGATTTATAGGAAGATGAACTACATAATAAGAATATGGAATGGGTTCCATTTTCCCGATGATTTCCTTAAAAGTATACTCTTTTGGTAACATGCATAAAATGAGAAAGAAAGCAACAACAAAAATCTGAAAAATCCCAAAAAATCAAGAACAACACCCACACTCTAATTTTTTTTTACATGTTCTTTCCACCACTTAAACACACATACACACCTTATACACACAAATCATCATATAAATACCCTCATTCTACCGTTTTGTTATGTTAAACTCGGAAAAAACTACTGTTAAACTTATCAGCAATAACTTTAACCAAAAATCTGGCAGAGAATATAAGATCTTTAACAAGAAATTGGAAACAACTATAACAAACTATTCGATAACAGCTCATCGAATCCAAGCACGATAACACTTATTGTCTATTCTGTCGCCGACAACAACTTTAACAAGAAATCCGCCTCGATTTGATGATGCTCAAACGGTTGTTACCTGATGAATTGAAATAGATTAAAAGGGTTTATTCTGACATCTTGACTTGTATATTTGCACTTTTACAAACTTCAAGGAGATTAACAATTGCAACAATGTGGCTATGGACATAAAACGTTATCCTTACGACATTTCAAGGCAACGTTGACATGGGTTTCAACACTGCTCTAGTGAATAAAATGGAGAACCTGTTTCTTGATCAAATCCCAGCGGTTGATTTGAGTCGTTTCTCCCAAGTGAGTCCCTCCATGAACTGGTTTTTAAAGAGATGCAAGAAAGATCCGATGAGATTGATTAGATCGATGAGTATTGCGAGAGAGATCTGATTAGATTGATGACGATGACGAAGTAAAACACCGGTAAGATCAAAAATGACATTCTTGATTTGGTTTTTTAAGAATTTGGATTGATATGGGTTTTTAAGAATTTGGATTGAATCTTAGATGATTGGTTTGCAGATGATGGGTTTTTAGAGAGAGAGAGAGAGATTAAATTTTATTTTTCTTTTTAAAAAAATAATAATAGAAACCCTTATAAATGGTTCCTGTGTAGTGAAATAACGAAAATATCTTTTGTTTAATAGATAAATACTAACAAAGTTAATCATAAGGATTAAACATTAAAAGTTTTGAAACCACAGAGATTTTTTTAAATTAAAAACGAAAATTCAGATTTTATAAAACGAAAATTCAGATTTTATAAAACCACATGGAGCGTTTATGAAGTTTTGTCTAAAATAAAATAAAAGTTAAAAAGTTAGAAGAGTCAAAGTGATCAGAGGAGAGAAAGTACAGGGTGTAAATCGCAAGAGAACAAAAATTACCAAAATTGGGTAGCGTCATCCGCCATATAACAACGAACCGAAAGCACTGAAAACCATGGAAAAAGATGAATTGATACAAACAATGTTTGAATAGAACAGAAGCAACGACAGATCATCCCCCAAAATTCCACCTTTGAATGAATTGCTACTGATCATGGACGTCAAAGATTCCACCACCGCCTCCGCCACCGCCGCTCCTCCACAGTACCGCCGACCTCCTCGCCTTACAGACGATTCCGACGACGTTAAACCGGGGAATCCGCCACCTATTACCGCTCAAAAGCCAGAACCTTTGTCCGAACCGAAACATGAAAAGGAACAACAACACCAATCCGCCATTGCGGTTCCCTCTAAGGACCCTGATGCCTTGGATAGTGGTGGTGGAATAAGGTACAAAACGGACCTAATATTTCAGCTTTCATTTCATTAACCTTTTATCCTCTTCCTTAAAAATTTTGAAGTCTTTTTTTTTTTTTTTTTTTTTTGGATTTTGAGCATTGAGGAGAATCTATTTGGTCATAAACGAAATTTTTGATAACTAAATTAAAGATAAAGCATGTTTACGATTGAAACATCCTGGTGTTTAAATTAAATTGCAAAGCTTGATGTGATTTTTTGTATTTTAACAGGTTGAACTAGGTTTGGATGAGGGGAGTAATTAAAATTCCTTCTTTTTTAGTTTATAATCGATTGCCAATATCCTTATCATTATCAATTCGGCAGTTCTTTTACCTTTACTACTTAAAAGGCAAATAGCGCACGATAATCTAAAAAGAATAAAGTTACATAAACATAAAATTATGCACGGATATACACAGTTATCTGAGATAATGAGATGACTTAAGTGATTGTAAAGTTACAGTTATAACCCTTTTAATGATTGTTGGCTATTAAGATAAGATTTCAAAAACTAAATCTATCTTTATCCTGCTAGCTTTGTGAGTGGAAGCAAAACTGCAAGATTTAAGTATGGGTATGCCAGTTTCAAGGGTAAAAGAGCATCAATGGAGGATTACTTTGAAACAACAATATCAGAAGTTGATGGTCAAACAGTTGCCTTTTTTGGTGTTTTTGATGGTCAGTAATTCCATTACAAGATAACAAGACCTTGTATAATCAATCATCTTTTCTGAAAATTCTTGCTTCTGATCTCACAATGTATATACTAAATAGGTCATGGTGGTTCAAGAACAGCAGAATATCTTAAGAACAATCTTTTCAAGAACCTAAGTGGTCATCCAGGTTTTATGAAAGACACAAAGACAGCCATAGGTATGAACAGTGTCTGTGTCAAAGTGTTAATATGTTATTTGATTGGTGAGTAAGTGAATAATCAATCAATGGTTTTTGATTACAGTTGAAGCATTTAGAAGGACAGATGCTGATTACCTAAGTGGAGAAAATCCACAGCAAAGAGATGCTGGTTCTACTGCATCAACTGCTGTAATGGTTGGTGATCGGATTCTGGTAGCAAATGTAGGAGATTCAAGAGTTGTTGCTTCAAGGGCAGGATCAGGTACAATTAACAACAATATTAGGTTTCAACTTTCAACAAGAATGTAGGTATGTTTGTTAATTAGCATCTTTGTTTCCATGTTATTAGTGTGTTTTTCCATGTAAAGATTATCATGTTAGCTCTATGTTGGTCCCTTGTGGGGTTGCATTGATTGTGTAGCATGTGCTTATGTCATCTTCATTGCACATGCACTCGTTTTCCACAAATGCAATCAGACAAGGGTAACACGATGGAAATCATCGGGAATCTTGAAAGGGAAAATTGAGTTAGGATAATTAATAGTATCTTTTATTATTATTATTATCTTTATGTGCTTTCATATATACATATATAACATAATACCTTTTCTCTCTCTCATGTCCTCTCATCTTGTTTTGGTACTTTTACTTTTTTCTCCATGTGAAGTTGTACCCTTAATACATCAAAGTAAACATGCCTTAACCAGGGAAGTGTAGTACTGTGTGCTTCATTTTGGTCAAAAATAATAATAAATCAATATTTTATTTTTTGCTTCCTCTTGAATGCGACATTAACATACTTCCATGTGCAATTCCTAGTACCCTTGTTGTCATGTCTATTGTCAAGTCTCTTTCTAAATTGCTTATACTTTATACCTATTTATTCACCACTATCATATGGAACTTTGTTAATTGTTAAGACTTACTAACAGAAGATATTAAGGAAACCTCAAATAAGACCATGAGAAAATATTTTCAAAAAAAAAAAAAAGAAACTTATCATTTTTGGTAATAGAACGACTACTAATTTGGTATTTTGGTTATATGGTTGTAGAACGAATCCGAAAATGGTAAGCAAGATGCTTAATATGGAATGGAAAGAGTATTTAATTTACCAATATACCCTTGGATAGTTATGTATCCAAACATGACGTATGTTTTGTTTGCAGCTATCCCTTTATCAAATGATCATAAGCCTGACAGAAGTGATGAACGTGAGCGTATTGAACAGGCTGGTGGCTTCATCATTTGGGCAGGTAGTAAATTTCTATATAAAGATGCTAAATTAATTTCTATTTTTAACCCCCATGGATTTAATATCTCTTTTTGTTGTTCTTGTTTATTTGGTTAATCTTTCCCATTAAATGTTGTTCACAAAATATATGAGAAAACGACAGCACACTTGGGGAGATGGAGGGCAAATTTGTAAATAGTTAGGGCTTAATAGATTGTGAATTTCAGGAACATGGCGTGTTGGTGGAGTTCTTGCTGTTTCTCGTGCCTTTGGAGACAAACTACTCAAGCCCTATGTTGTAGCTGAACCAGAAATTCAGGTGCTTTAATAACTGTTTTTTTTTTTTTTTTTTTTAATAAATTGTAAATCTTTTTGAGGCTTTAATGATCATGGGAGAATGTTGTTCATTGTGGTTGATTTATTGTTGAATCTCAGGAGGAATTAATCGATGGTGTAGAGTTTATAATTATTGCAAGTGATGGGCTTTGGAATGTACTATCAAATAAGGTTAGCCACTCATCATTAAATTAGGTTAAACCCAATATTCTTAATTTCTTTATTTTCATTTTTCACACACTCATCATCAAGTTATTGTTGTCTACAAGTATAGTTAGTAGTTATGGTATTGTGCTTTTGTAAGTACATTTTATGTTTTTATGAATCAAGGTATTGAATTGTTAAGTTAATGTTCAATAAGTAATACGGTTGATTCTTTATATTTTATAGTATTGTATGATCAAAAAAACTAAAAAATTTTGGTTCTTCTCATCTAGATTTATAAGTGATGTTTGTTGCAGGATGCTGTGGGTATTGTGCAGGAAATAAGTGATGCAGAAGCCGCATGTAGGAAACTTGTTCAAGAATCATATGCAAGGGGCAGTTCTGACAATATTACTTGCATTGTTGTACGTTTTGAGGACCATTAATATATATATATATATATATATATATATATATATATATATATATATATATATATATATATATATATACCTCATGCTTGTTGTTGATGTAATAGTACTACAAATCCCAGTTAATTTGTTGTTGCAAGTTTGTAGCTAGTAATCCTAAATGGAATTAAGCTTTTGTTTGTTCTATGTTATTTAATGTTTATATATAATAGTGAATGATTTTAATCATCTGCCTGTTTGTTTTTTGGTGTTTATTTATATGTAAAAAAGAATTTTTCTGTGATTTGGGTATTATTGTTGTTGTACATGTAAAATGGATAAACACCATTCTAGAGTCGCACAATGTCATGATGGAATTGGATAAGCTTTGTAGGGTTGTTTTTAATGATTAAAATATGGAGAGGGTATTTACGTCTTTGTGAGATTGTGTTACTGTGTTATTCTTGATCAACATGTTTGATTTATTAAATCTAGGATGTTTATGTTCTAGAAAGCAATGAAGAGGATATGCGTCCATTGGTATTCTGACATATTTTATGATGAAATTTAAACCTATGATGTGATTATGATGTTTGGGTTATCATTTACATATCTCAATTATTTGAATAACCTAACTGATTGGAATCGAATCCGTACTTTCTTTTCAGCTTTTGATTTCAAGGGTGCATTTGATGGTAGGGTCAGAAATTCCATGAAGGGATGTGAAATGTACATAACTACATATTAATTATAATCTTTATTTTCAGGGATAAAGATTGTTATCTATGATTTGACATTAAGATTTTTAAACAAAAATCTGTGCTTTTTTATATTTTAGGAAATAAGTAAATTAGATCACAACTAGATAGTTTTATAAATGGTTAATATTAAAAAACTATTATCCATAATTGGTTCGTTTTTCTTGCTTAGTTTTATTTAAAGATGTTGGGATTGAGTTTCTAAATGATTTATTGATTTATTGGTTTGATTGGAAAAGCCAATAATTTCAAAAAATTGATTGAAAAAAAAAATGACCATTTAGAACCCTCAGAGTTTTTCAGAAATGAGACACTCCTAACTTATTGACTTATAACCTCTCTAACTTTTTGTATGGATAACACCTTATAAAAGCAAATAAGAAATCCAAACCCTTTTTAACTTATAATTTTTTGTGAACAAATAAGCAATCCAAATACTTTTTAAATTATGATTTTTTGTAACCATAAAAGAAAATAAACCTTTTGATCAAAAAGTGTTTATTTTAGTTAAATTAGCAATCCCAAACACCTCCCTCTATGAAGAAGGAAAAAATTGAAGCGTTGTAGGATAAATGATTTCACATATAATGTTTTTGGTAATATGGATAAATAATTGATTAATTTTGATGATGCGAGTTTTTCAATGTTGATTTTGACTTTATCAATCATTGTGTTTTGGTGTTTTCTGTTCTCTAACAGAAAACAACAAATGAGAGGGAGAGTGTGGGCATGGGAAAGACTGGAGGAGACATACGGCAACAGTGGTAACAACGGGAACACCGCCCATGGTGATGTGAGAATGGCGGCTTACGACTTCTCTTTCCTAACTTTGATTCAACCATTGAAAAAATCCACCTATTACTTATTGGTGGTTTACACACTTCCCATTCTCGGTTGGGAGCAGGGTCATGGATTAGAATTATTGTTTCAAATTCTCAGCTTCTAAATCAAGGTGTTCTAATAGATTCAGTATTAAAGAAAAAAGTGGGGAATGGTAAAAACATTAGATTTTGGAAAGATGTTTGGTATGGTAACCATCGTTTATAGGTTAAATTTCCTATACTCTTTGAACTTGAAAATGAACAAAACTGTTATATAGCGCATCAAAATATTGATGGGGTTTGGTGTTGAAAGTGGAGACATCAACCGATGGGTGGTGAAGAAGTTTCTCAATTTATGGATCTTATTGATTGTCTTGAACACAAGTCGACTTATCAAACTAAAATGATAGGTGGTGGTGGGATATTGAAGGTAATGGGGTTTTTTTGTGGATGTGACTAGAATTAGATTGACGAGAGTATTCTTCCTATGTAAATATAGATACTAGATGGAACTTCTTTTACCTAGAAATGCAAACCATAATGATATAGTGTAGTTGTTTAGATAAAATTCCAGCTAGAATGAATTTAGAAAATCAGGATATAGAAGTTCTTTCCATTTTATTCCCTATTTGTGATCTTGAAGTAGAACACTTGGATCACTTATTTGTAAGATGTCTAAGTGGCTATAAGGACTTGGGATGTCATATGCAAATGGATGGAGATCGCTCGAATGGACTTTGTTTCAGTTACAAATCATTTTCAATTAATCGACAATATGTCGATTAATATATATATATATATATATATATATATATATATATATATATATATATATATATATATATATATATATATATGTATGGTGGATGTGATGGTTTGTACTACCATTTGGTAATTTGGAAGTATTGGGACGATCTTTTGTTTGCATCGGAAAAATTAAAGAATAATGGCATCATGGATTCCATCAAAGAGTTCTCTTTTCTTTAGTATTCAAATAGAGATAGTAAATGTTATGTTTCTTGGGTTAATTGGTTAAAAAACCGATGAACTCTTTGTAATTAGTTTATTTCTCTAGCTTCTGGCTAGATTTTTTATATATATGGCAGATTATTAAAAAAAATCACATACTACAACGACTATATATATTAATAGGCTATAATTTGAAATTTTTTAAAACATTATAAGTATCACACTAAATATCTCATTTTATCACACCACAACCTTCTTCTAACTTTCATTTTATCATATTATGCCTAATGGATCCAAAACATGCCAAAGACAAAACTATGACTACGAACTGAAACCCAAGTTGTGGTTTGAGTTCACAAAATCCAAGTAATCTCGACTCTCAATTCCCGAAACTCAGTTTCAACAATTCCCGCAATATCAAAACCAATTTTCCTCATATTCATAGTATCCATAATACTCTATAAAACATCCATACTATGATTTTTGTCTACCTGATAAAAAAAAATTAAATTTCATCCAAACCCATAAGACCTAGAAGCATGTTTGGCAGTACACAAGACCTAGAAGCATCTTACGAGTCAATGAAAGAACCCCCAAAAATCCAAGAAGAATTTGACTAGTCGATAAGGGAAAAGAGATATAAGTAAGCCAAAAGCATGGAAAAACAAAGGGCTCGTGTTGGCAAGTGTGTGAATGAGCATTACAACTAATTGGTGGGAATGACCATCGTGTTAGTCTTTTTGTCATGCAACTAATTAGTTTTACCCTTTTCCCTTTTTCCAGCTTCCTTCACTTCCCTTAAGCATGTTTTTAGGGTTTTAAAATGGTAAACTAAGCAATGTATCGTCTTCTTCGTCGGCTGATTGTAGGTTTCTGGGCATCCATAGTGTATCCACACTCAAGCTCGCAATTCAAGTTGTGTAAAAGATGTTTTGCTCTCATGATCTCATTGTTTGGAAATCCATAGATGCATCAATGTCGGGTAAACACCCAAGAGCTCTTGAATTCAAGTCCCTTAAACAATCTTTTTCATTTTCTTTTATAGGACGTTGAATATCATGCCAAATGAGCAATAAAAATGCCTAATCAACATCCCAATCGGCAAAGGAAAAGAGGAAACTCGGGGGAAAAAAAAACTTAACATGTTGTATAAAAAATATAGACGAAAAAACAAAATTGCTATGAAACCATAAAATTTCTAAGAATTAAATACATATTAGTAGGTTTTTGGATTAGCTTATTAGCTTATTCTTTGTTATTTTATTTGTAGTGGAGCAATACGCAATAAATAAGGGGATGCTTATTAAAATTAGCTTATCTAGTTTATTTCTAATGCAATAAGCTGATTTTTAAGAATTTTATCCAAACATTTAAACTTAACTTGTTGGGGTGAGAATAAACAAAAAAACATCATTTTTCCTATCCAAACACCCATTAGCTTAATGAAGTAACTGAAAATCCTTGGGATTACCACTCTCAAACAGCAAAGCAAATTTGCTCGGGTGGGTGTAAAAGTGTTTAAACCTGAATGCAGCGGGTATCTATAGAGGGTGTTTGGCTAAGATTATTTATAGTTTATTTTCTAAGCTTATTTTTTCTGACTTCTTTTTCATGAATAAGGCTTATTTTCTCAGTACAAGTGATAATAAGCTCAAAAGTTAGAAAAATAATTTAGTAAAAGTGAACTTATAAAAAATAAACTCGAGCTCCAAAAATAAGTGATAAATAAGTTTAATAAACACCCCATATATGGGAGATTGAGTCGACCAGCGTCTTAACGTAGTCAGCCAAGGCCTAAGTAAACTTCCTTCCTATCCGAAACCTTTCAAATTTTTTGGAGTATCAATGGCGGCAACTACCAATATACTGTCTCTAAAGATCTTGGAGAACATGTTCACGCCCATATTGCAGAATTGTAAAAACTTTAGGAAATTGAAGAAAATCCATGCCCAAATTGTGAAATTTTCATTATCACAGAGCAGTTACTTGGTCACGAAAATGGTGAATGTATGTGAGCAAAATCAACAAGTAGAATATGCAAGATTGTTATTTAAAGAGGTATCCGAGCCGAATATTTACTTGTACAATGCTATAATTAGGGCCCATACACATTGCCACTTGTATTTGTTCACCATTGATATATACAAGCAAATGCTTAAAGAACCAATTTTTCCTGACAACTTCACATACCCCTTTGTTATAAGGTCGTGTGGAGGGCTTTCCGATATTTATTTAGCCAAGCAAGTTCATGGGCATGTCTTACAATCTGGAGTTGAATCAAATATTGTTATAGAAAATTCAATCTTGGATATGTATATAAAATGCGATGGTATTACTGATGGACATAAGGTGTTTGTTGAAATGACTGACAGAGATGTGATATCTTGGAATAGTCTCATATACGGGCATATAAAGCTGGGACAGATGAAACGAGCTAGAGATATCTTCGAAGGGATGCCAGAGAAGTCAATTGCTTCATGGACTGCCATGATTTCTGGGTACACGAGAATCGGGAGTCATGAAGATGCGTTGCATATTTTCCGCATGATGCAATTAACAGGTGTTAAACCAGATTGGATCAGCTTACTCTCGGTGTTGCCAGCTTGTACCCAATTGGGTGCTCTTGAGCTAGGAAAATGGATCCATTTTTACGCAGAGAAAAATGGTTTCTTGGAAAAGATCAGTGTATGCAATGCTCTGATTGAAATGTACTCAAAAAGCGGAAACATCGACCAAGCACGCCAAGTGTTTGACAAAATGCTTCAAAGAGATGTGATTTCATGGAGCACAATGATTGGAGGTCTAGCCAACCATGGTAAAGCTCCTGAAGCCATAAAACTGTTTCAAGACATGCAAAAGACAACAATCAAACCAAATAAGATCACATTCGTTGGTCTTTTATCCGCTTGTGCCCATGCTGGATTCCTTGAAATTGGAATGAAATACTTTGATTCCATGGAAAAGGAATACAATCTAAACCCTGGAATCGAGCATTACGGATGTTTGGTGGATCTACTTGGAAGAACCGGATATCTTAATCGAGCTTTTGAATTGGTAAACAACATGCCCATGAAACCAGACTCTGCAATTTGGGGTTCATTGTTGAGCTCGTGTAGAACAAAAGGTAATCTTGAACTTGCGGTTATTGCAATGGAGCATCTCTTGGAGCTTGAACCAGAAGATATTGGAAACTATGTGATGCTTTCAAACATATATGCGGATCTTGGAAGATGGGATGGTGTTTCAAGAGTGAGGAAGTTGATAAGAGGTAAGATAATGAGTAAAAGAACACCGGGGTGTAGTTCGATTCAGGTTGATAATGTGGTTCAAGAGTTTGTGTCATGTGATGACTCCAAACCATTTTCTGGAGAAGTTTATCAGATGCTTGACTTATTGGCTTTGCATAACCAAACGAAAGATGTTTTTTTGTAACGTTTTACGAATTTAAATTTTAAGTATTCCATTTGTATATATTCAGAAAGGTGTTTGCTAAATTGTGAACTTCATGTTGCTATTGAGGAAAATTGTGAATATCTTGAGTTAGGGTTGTTTACTATTCGGATAAACTTGAATTGCTTAGATGTACAACATGATTGGACTGTATGGTTCGGATATTTTGAGTTTTTGGTTTGCAACAAAACAGAATTATCATTTTGGATTTTGGATTGGCTTTGTTCACCAAAATAAAAGATTTGTTCAGCCACTACAAGAAGCAATGTGAGAAAACAAATATGCAAAACACACAAAATGGTTCTTGTGATATTTCTACTAGTTTGATTGACACAAATATTGATTTGAGTGTGAATTCCACAAATCTGATGAAGAAGACTAAGGCTGGAGGGAGTGGTGCCACTGAAACTGCACTCCCTTCTATGCCACATAGATGCCACCTCATATTTTTTTTTTTTTTATTTCATCAGTTTTAAACCACAGCAAGGGAGTGGGGGATGGTTAAGAGAGAGAAAAAAAGAAAAAAAAGAAAGAAAATGATTGGTAGAGAGAGGAGAGAGAAAGCAAATAAAGAAGGAGAGATGAGAATGGGAGTGCGGTAGAAATTGGGTGAAGAGAGAGAATGTGCGGTAGAAACCGCAGGGTGGGAGTGGTGTTTTGGGTGATGATGTGGCGAAACCGCGGTTGAAACCGCACCCACACCCTCTAGTCTAAGAAAAAGAATGTAAGAGTGAGGTGGAGATTTATTTTGATGATGGAAAGGAGAAAAGTGATAAAAGATTTGATATTTTAGGCTGTTAGAAAGCAAATTTCAGTGAAGTTCCTTATATTTTCTATACTAGCTAACTATGTCTTATCAATGTTAAACATGGAGTTGGCATTTAGTATCTACAAGGTTGTAGGTTTATTGATAAGTATAGAAGTACACTTCGCACTAAAACCTTAGAAGCTTTTTATTTATACATAAGATTTGACATGGACGGATATTGAAATTGGTAAGGTTTTCTTCAAATACTTTGATATTATAATTTTACTTAAATACTAATATTATCATTTTTATAAATGCATTTTCAATGGGTCAAAAAAACATCTAAAGATGAGCAAAAGGATAGGGGTTGATTTAAAATGCATCTATAAAAAATGCAATTGCATTGTGATTAACATAATGCTTTCAAAAGAAAGCAAAAGTTGGGACATCCATCACATCTCCTCAAAGATGGTTATGATTGTACATAAATAGTTGCAAGGCCATGTGAAGATCATGGCTACAAACCATATTTCCTTTTTTGATTGTGATCATTTTTAACCAATAAATAGTAGCAATATCAACATACTTTTTCTTTAAAGCAAAGCGCTTAAAATATTTGAAATTTGTTAGTACACATTATTGCATAAGGAATAGTAGAAGGTAAAAGATAATTCTTCAAAAACAATATCAATATCATTAGTAGTGATACATTTTGGAAACAACTTGGATCAAAGTGCAACTTTTATGAACAACCAGAAGACCATTTGCATAAAATCTAAGCCCTTTCACCTCTAATCCTCCTTGCCAATTGCATGTCTTTGGGCATAATCGTAACCCTCTTGGCATGAATCGCACACAAATTAGTATCCTCGAACAACCCTACCAAATAAGCCTCAGACGTCTCCTGAAGCGCAGCCACAACACTGCTTTGAAACCTCAGATCTGTCTTGAAATCCTGAGCAATTTCTCTCACAAGCCTCTGAAAGGGAAGCTTACGGATCAACAACTCGGTGCTCTTCTGGTACTTACGGATTTCCCTGAGCGCGATCGTTCCTGAATCTGTGTGGCTTCTTCACTCCCCCGGTTGCCGGCGCCGATTTCCTTGCCGCCTTTGTTGCAAGCTGCTTCCTTGGTGCTTTACCACCGGTTGATTTCCGGGCAGTTTGCTTGGTTCTTGCCATCTCTATCAAATAAAAAATTGAGAGTTTGAAAATTGCAGGAATGAGAGATTGATGTTTGATAAGAGTGGGAAGGAGATGGCTTTTTATAGGGATACGTGGAATGTGGGAAATTTTGAAATATTGGGGAAAAAGATCCGCCAGTATATATAAACCGGTGGATCTGTTTGGTATAGATCGGACGAACACGATTAGATTCAAAGAGAGAATGCGGATCGCTATCCGTGTGAGTGAGTTTTGGATGCCTTTGCTTCCTCTTCTTGTCTGACCGAGTGAAGACGGAAAAAACAAATGGAAAATATTATTTATGTATTGGTATTTGATAAATAAATAAATAAATTATATTTTTTATTTAATATTAAAATAATCAATTTATATGCACATCTTACCACTCACTGTATACATATACAAATGCATTGTTGATATTAATATCTCTAAGTAATAAATTTAGGTTTTGTGAAAAAATATTGGAGCAAAAAACAATGTATATATAAGCTCATGCCATAACTATTGTAAATAAAATTCTATTATCTTTTCTCTCCTTTGTTTGGGCTTGTACATCAAACCACGCCCCTATGTTTCTTTTGTTTGCAATATTTTACTTTGTTATAAATTTTAAGGTCATGACACCTGATAGTATATAGTTTGTTTTTAGGTTAATCGTTTTTTAATCGTATGTGGTATGCCACTAAAGTTTTTTAGGTGCCCATTACAATATCGGGGGTTAAAGTGTAATTTTTAAAGTTTTTTAGGTACCCATTACAATATCGGGGGTTAAAGTGTAATTTTGGGAGTTATTTTGTAACCATTTTATTTTTATGATTTGATTCTTTGATACTTTGAGATGAAACCATTTTGAAAACAAATTTGTAATAATTATTGGTTTATGAATGATTTAAAAAATTTTAAATTGACATGATTTTTATGGGTGTTACAAAATTCATTTGTTTTTATTGTCAATTGAATGGACATTGGTTGGCAAGCTTTCCAAAGTACTTGAAATATCTCAAAGATGGTAAAGTCGATTTGAATGACTCTATTTCAGGTACATCCATTATTTGACTTCATTGTTTTTTCTACTTATAAACTTTTAATAATTATGTGATGATCACATTCTGATGGTATTAAATAAGCTAATAGGAAAAGCGTAGCTTGGACAAGGCGATCTAAATCCGATCATAAGAAATGGACTTTGGTCCTTTTTGGTTGCCTTCACCAAAACAACTTGATAGGATGATTTATGAATAAAGATGATTAATTATGATTTATTAATATATTATATGAATAATATATTAAAGGAGAAATCATATTAATATTAGTCAATAATTAATTAAGAATTAGTTTTGTGACTAAAAGACATTAATTAAACTTAGGGGACTAGAGTTGTAATTATAAGATAGTTGCAGTTGAGTTATGGATCACCTTGGAACATAGGTTGGACGAATTTTATGGGAAGCCCATAAGGAATTCGTCTAAGGGTTGTTCTAAAGGGAGTTAATAGGTTGCTTAGGGTCTAAGCAATCAAATTAGGGTTTCCTAGATGATAACCCTAATTATCTCACTATATAAGGACCCCTATAGCCCCAAAAATGTGTGGAACTCTTTTGGAAGAACCCTAGGATGGTTCTGATGCTTCTCTACTTTCTCTTTATTCATCCTCTTGCTTGTGGTGTTTGTAAGCCATTAGACGAGTGACACTTATGACTCTAAGCTCCAAAGAAAAGAAGATTCAAGCCATTCCACAAAGAGGTAATCATCTAGATCTGCTCTTATGTGATAATTTCTAAATGCATATGCTAGATTAGGGTTCTTGAGTCTTGGATGAATTACATGTAAAATAGAGAAACCTAAATCCAAGCAGTAGGGTTTGTATGAGCACATAAGATGTTCTTTTGTATAAAACACATCACTTATGAGAACTGCATGTTAGATTAGGGGATAAGGATCTAGGAAGGATGCCTTGCATGTCTGTTGTATGTGTATGTGAATTGTATGCTAGATTAGGGCTTAAGGATCTAGGAAGGATGTCATGTATGCCTACAGTATGGGCTTTATGAATGGCATGCTAGTATTGATTAATCAGTGATATGATGGCCTAATTAGGATATGCTTGATTATGGTTACTCAATGCTCGAATGTTGTTTGCTTTGTGCTTTTAGGAGTCCTAGTTATCTTTAACTAACTAGTAAACGAATATGTTAAGTTACATATTACGAGGAATATATAATTTCATAAGGTTAGGTCTAGCTCTATTTCACAACTCTTGTTTGAGTCTAACTGTTTTAGGGTAGGACCTCTCATTCGGAGAATTATCAGGTCTTAGTTATGTAACGCCCTGTTCCGAATCAATTCCTAATTTCAGGATGTGGCCCGAAGAGCGGTCATCATAAGGATTAGGGCTTTTGGAAAGGTAAGATCTAGGCCTGTTTGGGTTTGGGTGATGTATTCAAAGTGATACGTTGTTCGGTTCGTGTTTTGGAGCCTAAGGGTATTTTGGTAAAGTGTTAGTTCGGGCTTTTGTGGAAAATGGATTTTTTTTTGGAAGGTTTTAAGAAATGTATGAGTTGATAAAAGTGTAGGGTTTCTCGTTACCTTTCTATGGATATAAGGATCGTCAGAATCAGACTTATAACGAAGAAGTTATGACCTTCAGAAGTTTCGTGGTTTTCAGGCTTAGCCGAGTACACAGGGCGTACACAAAGGGTACGCGGGGCATACTAGTGAAGAAGGCAGTACACGGGGGCAAGGGGGGATGCCTTGGAGTACGCTAAGTGTACTGACCAGGATGGTCGTGAATGTTCTTCGTAGTATGTTGGGTGTAGCATATTTACGTTCGGCGTACGCCAGTCAGATCAGAACCCTATTTTATGGTCTTGGACCTTATTTAAACTCCTTATCTCATAACCTAACCCTAATATCTTCAACCTCCATCCCTCTAAACCGTAGAAATCATCATTAACCATTCATGGTGGCATTTTGAGTTTATGGAGACCATTTTTGGAGTGTTTGACCCATTTTCAAGAAGGTGGAGTTTGATGCAAAGATGGGGATCTTAT